TTTCCCGGTTCGTTCGTCCCACAGTCGGTGAAGGGATGCACTGTCACCGCAAGCCTGACCACGCGCTGTCAAACAATATTCCCCGGTGCTGCACTGCTACCTCTTTCCACGAGTAGACAGCTGCCCGTCCGTCTTAGTCTCGCCCGGAAGAAAAAAACTTATATGACCTCCCAGGCGATCTGAAACACGGGTTCACCCTACTCTCCACCTACCGGCGTGGCATTCTTTTTTTTTTACTGTTTCTTTTCTTCTTATACCCGCTTTCGGATTTCAAATCCCCCATAGGGGCAGGGAGAAAACAAGTTCGGGCCGAAGACGAAGTCAGAAACGGGAAGTAGTAACCATCGGGAAATAGCACACGAGCCAGCTGTACGTAAGTCCTGTTTCATTCCGAAAGGGAATGGTAACTATCATACTGGGCAGGGCGAGGAACGCGAAGACTCTGTACTGAGTACGTCCTGGTGGAGGTGGGGCCGGAGGGGGGAGAGACCGGGAGGGATCGGGGGGTGCTCCTCGGTACATTTTTTTTGTCCGGCTTGTCAGCGGGGTTTTTACTCCGGTGGTGCAGTCTTGTCGGCAGTCGGGTGACGTTCAAGTGGCTCTGGTACCTGCAAGTGACTCTGGTACCTGCAGAGAGATTCACAGGTGGAAGCGGAAGGAAACAACAAAAAGAAGAGACATTTGGAAGACACATCCATGCAAGCACGGACTTGCGCGGTTCGCGTTGTTTTGCGAATGCTCCAAGTGAAGAGTAAACAAATTCCCAATTGAGGATGTGCCCCGCCCCCTCCTCACTTCCACATCATGCAATTCCCGTCCTCCTAGGATACATGTAGGAGGGGTTTTCTACTTGTATTAGTAGCGCAAATTTCACTCTTCTTACACAGCCCGTCTGTTCAGCTGTGCCTGTACACGTACTCGTCCAAGTTGGATGAGAGCGATTTCCCTCCGCGGCTCCTCCGCCCCAGTTTTGGGGGTCATAGCTCCCCTCTTCGCTCCCTTAATTTCCACGTGTTGCTATTCTCGTTACACCCTCAGGCCCCATATCCATACCACAGAAGCATCGGAAACGTCAGCGGAATAGAATCACTAATACGAGCCTCGGGCGAGAAAAATTCCCCTCAAATCCACTTCTCCGTCACTTTTCCGTCCTGCAAGTAAGCCATATCGCGCCGGAAGTACCGGGGTAGGGATCGTACAATCGTCCCCTACATACCTTGTAGGATCTGGTCTGATATGATACCACACCGTGAGATATTACTGCCGCCCGGTACAAACGAAACCCGGAAACGAAACAAATCCCTCCGCGGGCGGCCGGCGCTCCCGTACCTTAGCTCTCCCGTTTGCTGTGGATGTACAAGTATCGCTAGCACTTCCTTGACATGACCAATGCCTATTTTCGGCCATGGATCCCCCTGCTTCGAAGAATGCAGCTCCTTGACCTCCCATATTAAGACCTCATACTTGTAATAGTTACTTGTTCTCCAAGCATATGCTCGAACCAGAGCCAGGTAGTTATTAGAGGTATCCGATGTTCCTCCTCCAGCCTGGCTAGGAGTAGTCGAAGGCGGTGGCTGATGTTCCCCTTGGCCCAAGCCCCAAACCCCCAACTCCGCCCTCTCCATTCCTGCATATCGGGCATTTCCTCCTTCCTGCCCATTTCCTCTCCCCAAACGTTTGAGAAAGGTCCACTTTCGCCTCTTCAATCCTGCAAAGAATGACCCGCTGAGCATGAGGATTCCAGCCAGCCAGATGTTCGGAATAAGAGACTCGAGAACACCCCAATCTTCCGGGGCCCGTGCTTACCCATCGTTATATGTACTTACAAATAATACCGAGGACGGAGCACTTCCATTTATGGCCCGCCCCGTGGTGGGACGAGATGGAAATATCGAGCTGCCCGCACACGTCAAAAGCACCCACCGTCTTATCGAACACTACTATATCCTACATTCGCAGACCTATTGTGGTAAACCCAAAGTAGCGCCGAGTCGTCGGGCGGCTGCGTCCCCACAGAAGGCAGGCTCGACCGGAACTTCGGTTGGGTTTCC